GTAACTTTTTAAAATACTTGTCAACAAATCATACAGAAATTCTTAATATAAATCAAACAATCATATAAAATGTAAATTTTTATATTTGCTGCCACTTCTATGATTCTTAAAGCAAACAACCTGGAATAATGCTGAGAATGAGGAAACAATCCAGTCTCCTAGGCACCAGTGGGTGTCATGGCGTCCACACATTGAAGCCTTGTCAGACTGACAATTAAAAGAGGAGAGAAGAGCTGAAGCTTCGCACATGAAATTCAGTGAAGATTGGTCAAAGGAACCAAAAAAGCGCATGTATTTGACTTCAGAGCAAAGTTTTTCTCCCAAAACTCTTTCCTCTTTCCTACCTTATACACTAGTCCTAGAAACCCTCCAGTCTAAATTTTTTTTTGAGACAGAGCCTTACTTTGTCACCCTCAGTAGAGGGCCGCGGTGTCACAGCTCACAGCATCCTCCAGCTCTTGGGCTTAGGTGATTTTCTTCATCGCCTTTTTCGCCTCGGCCTAAGGAGTAGCTGGGACTACAGGCGCCCACCACAACACCCAGCTATTTTTTTGTTGCAGTTTGGCCAGGGCCGGGTTTGAACCCACCACCCTCAATATATGAAAAGCATACCCTACCCACTGAGCCATAGGTGCCACCCATCCAGTCTGAATTCTAACCTCATAGCAGATCAGAAGAAACAGGAACTGACTCAAGGATGTTCATTTGGGCCAAGCCGTCAAAACTGACAACTGACAGCAAATAAGAAAAGTGTTGCAAAAGAGACACCAAACATACCACATCATTCTTGGGGCTGGTCAGTCTGGGAACAAGTGATATAGCACAATTTGAGTTTATGACAATAATGGTTGTTTTAAAGAAAAGTTTAAAAAATGGCTATTTTCCATACAACATTTAAGAATGTAACACATTTTTGATAAGACTTTTAAAAAAAGTTTTGTTGCTTAAAGGGATGAGCTGTTAATCACTTGGAGAGCACAGCTAGTCAGAAAAATAAACTTCCTGAGGGTTCTGAACATTTAAAGCTTGATAGGATACTTCAAGGAGATATTAACTAAAAAAAAATTTTACTACTGTCATTCACATTAAATGATTTCAGTACTGTCACTCACATTAAACAATAAAAGTCTTTAATTAGGTATGTTAATTTTTCTTTCCTTTATTTTTAAAAACTAATGAAGCTTTTTTCTGAGATAGCCCAGGGTAGATTACTACCTACCCCAACTCCCCACATAAACCCTGTAGGCATTAAATAAACAAAAGTATTATCTTTGGTAGAAAAATTTTCAAAAGCCTAAATAAATGACAAGTACAAGTTTCCCTCCTAGATTTGCACCCAAGACACATTGACACACACACATCAAGTTCCTCAGTCCTCTTCCACAGCAACAGCCACTTAACACTTTCATTATGTGCGCTCTTCAGAAACAAATATTACTACTCCTAAGACTCAACCCAACCACTTCTGGAAGTGATCAAAAAATATAGTAACTTATCAGGATAAAAAATCAATGTCCACAAATCAGTAGCCTTTATATATACAGTCAATAACAGCCAAGTTGAGAAGCTAATCAAGGACACAATTCCCTTCACGGTAGCTTCTAAAAAAATGAAATAGCTAGGAGTATACATAACAAAAGAAAGAGGTAAAGGACCTCTACCAAGAAAATTACAAAACTCTAATAAAAGAAATAGTAGAAGATATTAACAAATGGAAGAATACACCATGCTCATGGCTAGGAAGAATAAACATTGTCAAAATGTCCATACTTCCCAAAATAATCTACAAATTCAATGCAATCCCCATTAAAATACCATCATCATATTTTCAAGAAATGGAAAAAATAATTCTTCATTTGGAAGCAGAAGAAAACCCTTTATAGCCAATGCAGTTCTTAGTAATAAAAACAATGCTGGGGGCATCAGTCTACAAGACTTTAGCCTATACTACAAGACCACAGTGATCAAAACAGCATGGTATTGGCACAAAATTAGAGACAATGACATTTGGAACCAAACAGAAAACCAGGAGATGAAACTAACATCTATAGCCACCTCATCTTGGATAAACCAAACAGACATAAACTGGGTAAAGAATTCCTATTCAATAAATGGTGTTGGGAAAAATGGATAACCCCAAGTTAAACACTGAAACTAGGCCTGCACCTTTCACCATTTATAAAAATTGACTCAAGATGGATAAAAGATTTAAACCTAAGGCATGAAACAATAAAAATCCTCGAACGAAGTGTGTAGGAAACACTTGAAGATATTAGCCTGGGAAAAGATTTTATGAAGAAGACTTCCGTGGCAATTATAACAACAAAAAAATAAATAAATGGGACTTAAACTGAATAGCTTCTGCACAGCTAAGGAGACAACAACCAAAGCAAATAGACAACTTCCAGAATGGGAAAATATATTTGCATATTACGAATCAGACAAAAGCTTGATAAGTAGGATCTATAGAAAACTCAAGTTAATCACCAAAAAATACCCAACAATCCCACATATCATAGGGCAAGAGACATGAATAGAACCTTCTCTAAAGAAGACAGGAGATGAAAAATGCTCATTGTCCCTAATCTCCAGAGAAATGCAAATCAAGATCACCCTGAGATATCACCTAACCCCACTGACAATAGCCCATATCACAAAGTTTCAAAGCTGTAGATGCTGGTAGGGACGTGAAGAGAAGAAAACATTTTTACACTGCTGGTGGGACAGCAAACTACTGTGATTTTTTTGGAAGGAAGTATGGAGAATCCTCAAGGAACTCAAATTAGACCTCCCATTTGAACCTGCAATCCCATTACTGGGCATCTACCCAGAAGAAAAAATAAAAACCTTTTATCATAAGGACACTTACACTAGACTGTTTGTTGCACCTCAATTTACAATCGCCAAAATGTGGAAATAACCTAAATGCCCACCAATCCAGGAATGGATTAGCAAGCTGTGGCAGGTGGCCCTTGTGGCTCAAATGAGTGGGGTGCTGGCCCCATATGCAGGAGGTAGCAGGTTCAAACCCAGCCCC